CTTGGTCTAACCACACCAGTTCTTTTTACTTTTCTACTTTTACGTAAACAAATGGACAGAAGTGTTTGTGATAAAATAATAAAGCACTTTACTGTTGAGGTGCCTGACATAATATGTGCTCATAAAAAGTTCTACAAACCAGCATGCTAATATTCCTATAAACATAAATACAAACGTCTCATATCAGGTTCTGCATGCTTGTTGTTTCAACTTATAAATCTTCTTCCACTGCTTACCCACAGTCTGGCGCAGGGCACCAGCGGCAGTCCGGATCAGCGACCAACCACCTCCTCAGCATAAACTCCTCATATTTCTCCATTAGAGCTCGATCCCCGAGGATCATGCAGATGTCGTGAGGGTTGAAGCGCTCCGAGCACTCGGGGCAGCTGATGTTGACGCGTGACTCTGAGATCTCGATGCGCAGGTATTGGCGCAGGCAGTCAATGCAGGAGCGGTGGGGACAGGTCATGATGTCGGGGAAACTCTCCCTGGAGAGGCGTAGAAGGCACAGTGGGCACTCCAGTAACTCTGCCCCCGCTCCCACCCCCATCTTAGAGGAGGAGGAGGTAGAAGAGGAAGGCCCTAAGGCAGATGAGAAAGAGGCAGCTCCTGCCACACCAACAGAGAAGAAGGCAGAGTTCTTGTCATTACACATCTCAGAGTGGATGCTCTCAATGCTGGCGATGCCATCCACTCCTGCAAGGCCTCCTGACCCAGGACGCTGGGGTTCCTTTGACCTCTGCCGGCTTCTTCTTCGAAAAAGAGAAGCCAGGGAGAGACGCCTCTTCTTCGGAGCTTTCTTCACCGACGGCAGGGAGACGGAGGAAGCGGTGGACTGCAGGTCCCGGTCAGAACCTGTGACCCCACCACTTCCGCTCCCCAGCTGCTGATGCTTCTTTAAGCTCATCTCTCCGGCGGGAGGAGAGGGGTGTGCTGGGGGGGAGCCAGAGCTAGGCAGCCTGTCCCGTAGGTGTGAGGAGAGGTGCGGGAGTTGGAGGGGGCTGGGAGAAGGGGTGAGGTNATAAGTCGTGTAACATTTGTCATGGTGTTATCTTTTATTCTGTAAATGAAGGCAGAAAAGCAATAACGGCTCCAGAATCAGCCAAACCGCATCAGTAGAACATATGGAGGATCAGGCTAATGTCAAAATAATTTGTATTTGGATCTTAAAAAAATGAAAACTGTTTTACATAAAAGCAGGACTTCAACAATTGTGTAGTAAATTGACAAATAACACAATTCTGCTTAAAAAAAATAGAAAAGATAAAATGTTAATCTTTCTTAAATCTGCAACACTGAAGGTGTTTGAAGAAGCAAACATTGCTCGCACTGTGAATACAGCTGTGGTTCTGATACCACTTGTGCAACAAGCCCAGTGGTGAAGTTTCCTCCCTCCTAAATGTGACCATTAGCCAGCCCTGATGCTGACATCAGTTCCCCATTTGGGCAGTTCTCATTTATCTTAAACTTACCTTGGTCTAACCACACCAGTTCTTTTTACTTTTCTACTTTTACGTAAACAAATGGACAGAACAAGGTAAGTTTAAGATAAATGAGAACTGCCCAAATGGGGAACTGATGTCAGCATCAGGGCTGGCTAATGGTCACATTTAGGAGGGAGGAAACTTCACCACTGGGCTTGTTGCACAAGTGGTATCAGAACCACAGCTGTATTCATAGTGCGAGCAATGTTTGCTTCTTCAAACACCTTCAGTGTTGCAGATTTAAGAAAG